TTCTCAACATGAGCATGACATCAGTGGAAAAAAATGCTGCATTGTGAATGCAGTGAGTAAAAAGGATAAAAATAACCAAAGTGACATTCACAAAGATTGGCATTTGAGGTGTCCGGTACAGTACTGTATTATGCTACAGTCTCCTCACATTGTGTCATCATCCTCAGCTGTGTGGACTCACTCTGGTTGCTCTACAGCGTGGGAGGACCAAACAGCACAAGTCTGCGCCCATACAGGCCCATTGCTTCGCATTCCCACTAGATAGACTCGATTATTAGATAAGGAAAGACTAATGGTGCACATCCACATTAAGAGCAAGCACAAGGCTAGACACGGCTGATGTAGGGAGGAGTGAGGGAGATAGAAAACCCAACTTGAAAGGTCTGGCAAGTAGGAACATTGATCTCTTTAAAATGCTCTGAATCTTCCTCCATTATTTTCCAGGACTGCCCACACACTGAATGGACTGTAAATTGAAGAAAACCTAAAGAGGGGGAATGGTTTCAGTCTTGGAGTGAAGGTATATTACGGCTTTAATATTTCATACAACATTGTTAATATTCTGGAAAGCGTTGCACAACACAAATCAATGCAAAAACATGCTGCTCTTGCAAACTGAGCTCTACTTCTTTTAAAACTGAGCACTGTAGGCATCTAATAGCAACAACTAATCGCATTAATGTATGACATCAGCACCACAGCCTGACTCATATGTTAATATTGAAACTCTCAATAAATCACCAGTTGTGAAGCTAACGGTTGGCAACGTCCTGATATTAATTATACACTTTCTGCATATCGTTGTGTTTATCTGGAAATAGAAAGAAATGCGAGGAGTCTAACCCCACTTACAATCACATTGACAAAATTTACACAGTTGCAAAAACACTGGCAGGTTACAAATTGCACTTACTACGCCTTTTACCTTTGCTGATCTTGTCCTGCACATGTGTAACTAATATTTTCTGACCATTTAACAGTGCTGCTTTATTTAACGGTCAAATGTATTACTCAGAATGAATCTACGCTGAGGAAAATATCAACAAAGGCTGTTCCTGCAGCGTGCTCTTACTCACTTTGTCTGACCTCTACCCTCCCCGGCCGTGGTTACAGGCATTTAAATGGCAATATAGAAATCTATAGACATCTTGTAAGCTTCTATAGGTCAAGTCAATTTTGGTTTTAGTCTGTTTGAAAACCAACTAAAACTTCTTACAGGACCTGTCAGTGAAAACTCTTCATCATTGGACTGGTAATTACAGAATATTGTCACTCAAAGTAAGGCTTTTCTAAGTGCTCTCTAATGACTGCTTAAGAAATGATATGCATGCTTATAAACTGATAATTAATCTTGAACATGTATAACATGATTTTAAGTATATGGAGTAGACATCCTACAGCAATGCAGCACTTTGTATACTGCTTTCTTGTGTGAGCTTTGTTAAGTGTGCAGCTAAAGCAATGACTCACTGCAAACAAAAGAGGGTCAGAGAAGTACAAATCCTTCTGGCTCCATATCAAGGATGACACGTTCTACAGGATTAATAGAAATGATAGCCTACAGTAAGGAAACAAAGGCAACATCCTTTGGAGATTTTGGCACGATAATCTTTTCTAATGTTATAGCATATGACAGCTGTTGACCACGGGCTACAAGTAGAGAAAATACAATTTTTCTACAATTTTTGCAATTCCATTTTCAATAAAACTGTCAAAACCAACTTTTCATGGAAGTTCAGCTCAGGATATCCCAGTGTGAAGCTCCTGCAGGTGTTCTTTTCAGTACACGGGCTTACAAGATCATGTTGTGACATCAGCTTCTTGCTTTTTTCCCCCTGGACGCTCACCTGTGTCAAGCCGAGCACCAGATAGAACCGGACACCAAGCAACTCCCTGACCCCTCCTCCTGTTCCTCCTCACATGAGCAGGCCACTCAACCAAAAGTCACGCAGGAACACGGAAAGGCCACTGCATTAGCCCATGTCCACGTTGTTTTGACTATTGCAGTCATCATTCATTGGGAAAGGTTTGCAAAGATCAGGCTTAGCATCCAGAAGTAGTGGGACTGCATCTCTTACATCACTGTCATGCTCTCGGGGCTTTTCCTACCACATCTTTTCACTCCCAGCTTTCATAAACACTTCTGCTCTGTTTTCTTCCTTTTTTTTTTTTTTTTGGTGCAATGGCAGCAACCTTTACAATTCTGCGAGAGCTCGCACAAACTCCCAAAGCATGCATTCCTGTTATTGCTGATGAATGTAATGCTAGCTTGATTGACCCTCCTGCAAAGGTCAGCCCTCTCATGCTTAACCTTTACTTAAGGGCAGAGAGCGCCATATGGTTCCATAAAATAGCACTTATATCTGATTGAGGGACGGACTGAGAGAAAAAGAGAGAATATCGCTACATCGGAATACTCTGATTGCATTTAATGAAGGGCTCAGGTTACCTTCTCTAAAAGCACACAGCAGCTGTGTACCAGCCGGCAATGGCATTTCCTTGGTCAAGGGCTTCCAAGGGTTCTCACTGCACCCACAAAAGGCTTCCCTGACCTCGGGGGAACTGCTATCTGACAGTCGAACACCCCCTGAGAGTCTACTTTCCAATGTACTTTCAGCTGCGTGTAACCTTTGTGCGATCGCAGCGCAGAGCCATTACAGTGGAGTTCAAGTTCTCCTGGTGGAGCACTCAGCAGAATATCAATGCAATTTGAATTAGGGTGGGATTTCCCTTGAAGGTTTCACAGGCTTCCCCCACATGATAGTGATCAGGTCAGCAATACCCTGATGCATCTCGAGACCGAGGGGCCACATCAAGGAAGCGTATCACTTCAAATATCCCATATTTTATCAGATTACCTCGCTGCTGTCACCTGAGTGTGCCTTAAATTAGGTATTGGCACTCTCTTTGTAATTGATTCTTATGATATACAAGCTTCCTCGTGGAGGCTGAAGACTATTATTAAACTGAGGCGGGAAGCCTTTCGGTCACAAATTACTGGGTGAAAACCAGCTTTGCAGGGTTAATACAGAAAGGAAGGGAAACATGTTTAGGCGCACCATAAAAGAATTCTGACTGTAAGTGTTACGTCACATGAACATATTTATATCCTTTTCAAAAGTGAACGCACTTCTTAATATTTAGATCAAGATGAATGAGGTCTGAAATTGATTCTACACTTTAAATGATTGTGTATTTGCACTAGATTGTTTTATCCTTGCTCTAGAATATTTAATCTGTGCTCCTGTGTCTTTAATCTGCGCTTCAGTTTCATTAATTTACAGGCTGGATTTTTGAATTTGCACTCATTCCTTGACCTTTACTCTCTATTCCAGAATCTTTACTCTACACTCAGTTGAATGCAAGGCTCCTGTTTCTTGAATTTGCGCTCCTGTTTTATTCATGCCATGCTCTACATTTTTTAATCTATGCTCTTGATTTGTGACTCTAAGCTTTTGATTATTGGATCAAATCTCTTGAAACTTGAATCTAAGCTTCTGATTCCTTATTCTTGCTTTAGAATTTCTAATCTATGCTCTAGATTTCTAAATTCCCTTCCACAAATCCAAACTATTTGTTCTTTAATCAATTCTCTGTATTTTTTTATTCACATTGTTGATTGTTGAATCTATTCTTTCATCTTCGCTCAATTCTTGACTCTATGCGATATATTCTTGAATCCACAGTCTTGATTCTTGAATCCAATGTCTTGCTTCTTTAATCTACACCCTACATTTCTATATCTACCTTCTTGATTCCTGAATCCACGCTACTTATTCTCCAATCTGAGCTCTATCTTTTTGAATCAACGCTCTTGATTCTTGTATCCACATTCTTTTCCTCAATGGGAGCGTCTGCAACAATGCAGCACACGGCGCACACAGCACATCAGGAGCTGTATTTCTCACACAGAGCTTATGATGTTCCCTCAATCGTACACATACAATGGAGCCCCGCGCTTATGATCTGCTGACACGGAATATAATCCTGAGGACAACCCTGTCCTGCGCTGCCTGGTGATGAGATCAGGATACCGGAGAAGCAAAGGTAAATTACCAGTGATTGGATTTCACCAGGGTTGACCTACCTAATTGGGCACTGAGTCAGAGCAGGGATGAGGTAAGAAGGAGGAGGAGGAGGAGGAGTTGAAAGAGACGTCAATGTTTTGGCAAGCCTTGACATTGCCTCACAGTTTTTGGATTTCTGTAGGATTGATCAGGAATAAGGGAAACCTGCCTGTGTCTGATGCAGCATATTTTGACGTTTTTTCATGGGAAGAGAGGAGCATTGATGTCTACCTCAGTTTGCATCGAACAGAAGAAATATGCTCAGAATGAAAAATAGCAAACAGCTTTCCCCAACACACCTGCAGCTAACTTTTGACGTCATCCTGTCGGATACAGAATGAAAAACAAATCCACTAAGACTGACGCATGAAAGCACCAGAAAGGAGGCAAAAGCATATCCCAACAAGAGAAGAGCCGTGTCACAAATCTAGACAAATCTGCTCCACACTGACATACTTTACCCCCACATGAAAACCAACACCCGTAGCTGACGTACTTACCAATTTATTTTTTATTTTTTTCAAAGCAAATGCAGTCTAAATATAGCTGCTGCAGTAATTTCTCTACTAATTTATCAGTGCCAGAAATATACATTTCTCCTCCATGATGTTTGCTTGGGCATTACGCATCCACATCCCAAATGCTACATCTCTTTCTATATTTAGTCGCCCCTTGACAACTGTTGCTTTGCACAAAAATTGGACCCAGACAGATTGCAAAAGAAAACACCTGATGAGAGTACAGTACACGCCTGTTTCAGATTCAAATAGATGGAATCATGCTTCTTTTTTTTTTTTTACAGGTGGGAGTAGGCCTGTGAAAATAAGTGTGCTTGTAATGTGCTATGATCCAGGCAGAGTGTTCTGCTTTGAATGTGATCAGGGAATGTGAGACGGGGGCAGTGCGATCACACTTCTTGTTTTGGTTCCCTACCTTGGCAGCCACTGAGGAGCTGGGCTTCTCCAGGAGATCCCACAGCTTCTTCCTCTTGTCTGGGCAGCAGGTGTTATCAAACTCTGTCTCGCCCTCTCTCTCCCTCATCGTCTCGGCCTCCCTCCGCAGCTCCTCGTTCATCTGCTCCTTTTTCTGGTGGTAGCGGGCCTGGCAGCACGACTCAAGGTAGATCTCGTCAATCCCCCAGTAGTCTAACTCTTGGCCGAACGAAAGGGCACACATCTCTTCCATCATGTGTAACTTCCCTGTGCGATAAAAGTTCAGGATGGAAGTGAAGGCCCCCGGGTGCCGGTCGAAGAAGTATTCGTTTTCGTTCAAGCTGTAGTCGTCGCAGACTTCCATAAGGGACTCATGGGTGTTGCAGTCTCGAAGCTTGCCAAGCCGGGTCCTGGGAAGCCGGTCCAAGGTCCGCCACAGCACCTCGTGGTTCAGACCCCCGACGTTGAGGCGGACTCTGCGGGAGCGGGCTTTGGTGCGGATGATGTCAATGGGTTCAGGGGGCAGGGAGGGAGCGTTTCTGATGTTGGTGGGCTTGAGCCCTGCTGGTCCAATCTTCTCAGCCATTTTGATGGAAAAGGAGACTTACTGAGGATGTTAAAAATGACAAAAAAAAGGTGGGGAGAGGGTAGAAAAAAAGGGGTCTAAGGTATTAAACTAAGTAGGATCCTCTTTAGCAAAGTCCCTCCATGACTGAGAAAACAAGTAAGAGACAAGAAACAGTTTGTGAGATAACACATTCACTGATCATGCAGACGTTAGTCAAATGATGCAATACAAAAATAACTTTTTCGCAATCCTTTTTAGACTTTGTGTCTCACATCTCTCGAGGAACAAAAATAAATCTGTTCCTTTCAAGCGAGCATGAGGACACGGTCACGTGTTACTCCGAATTTTCAGTCAAAAAATAGTATCAGCTGTTATTGATCCCTTTCATTACATTTCAAAGACGGTGTTAGATGGGATCAATGGTTTTTGTTTTAACAGTCAATATGGTTGCTTTGCTTTGCTCTCCCCTCCAGCACTGCTGAGGCTGAAAGGGGGGAAGGAACTCCTGCCTGAGCACTACTTTCTATGCAGCCCCATCGGTCGAAATGGGACTCAGTGAGTGGTTAGTCAGGAAACAAATGGACTGAAAGGAGCCTTGAAAATCCACTGATATACTCTGGAGGGGGAAGGCATGTTTGAGAGCTATTACTGCTTTAAAAAAAAAAAAAAAGTCTTTATTCTACTTCAAATGTTCAAATAGGTTTTCCCTTTTTACGTTTGCTTCTTGTAATCGGAATCTTTGACAAATATCACATGCTCAAGAAAAAAGTAATTCTATAGAAATTTTAATTCTAATAGAATAATAAAATTGCCTCAAACATTTGGATTAGGCCTTTAAAAATGTATTAAGTTGTTGATATCAATGTATTCAATAGGCCTAATTGAAGGAAGCAGGTTGCAGTTCCCAATTAGAAACATCATTTTACAGGATTGAATTAAGCTGATGTGTTTGAATGGAAGATTTTAGCTACATTTAACACTGCCTGACAATTTGTTCCGTTTGCAATAAAGCTGAATAATTACTATCCAAACCAAGTGTTTTGGGTAAATAAGTATCCATACATAGTATTACAGTTTTCCACAAAGCAGGATCACCTAATATCTATACCCTGTCATATTCTGCAGTCCTATAAATTCAGAAACACTGCATACCTGTTACGCTACAACGTATTTTCTGTTTGGTCAGGTTTTAGTTGCCTTACACCTTGTGCAGAATGTAAATCAGTTTTCAAAACCTGTCCTGGCAACACACGAGATGTGTTTTCCATTCCGCTCAAAGTGGTATCCAAATTCGTAAAAAAAAAAAGTAACAGAAAACAGTTTCTCTCACCTTGCCGAGATAAACCACCTTTTGCATGCAAACTCCTCTCGTTCCTGAGGGAGTAAAGGATGAAATGGGAGCCGGGATCCCCCCTCCAGTCAAGCGGCTACAGCGGAGGAGAGAAGTCCGCGGTCTCCGCCGAGAGAACGCGCGTCCCACATTTTGTTGAAAATGAGTCGCGAGGAGAAGAAAAAGAGTGTAAATGTCTTCATCTATAAACGGGACGAAACCAGCCCTGTTTCGCCATTGAAGCACTGGGGTAATACAGTCCTGTCTGCCTTCATCCAAAAACAGCCTGGCGCGTGAGAAGAAGACAGGCTCACTGAATCAGTACTGCAGACGTCGCGCGCGTAAAAGGCAACGGGAAGGAACGGGATAAACTGCGGAGTGTCCCGCTGTACACTACATGAGGAGGAGTAGAGGGGTGCACACGGGCTGCACCACGTCCTAGAGGTGACTCAATGTCCTGGATAGGAGAGGATTCTCACCAAGAAGAAAAGAAAACACTTAAATATTTGTGTTTTGAAAATCTATAGCTGTAAGAGCATGATAATGTGGGCGCGCGCGCGATTTGTTTTACTGGTTGAATTATTTTGAAATAGCAGTTTAGGATACAATCCAAACACACTCTTACATAAACAGACACGGGCACGCACACATACACACAGGCGTCAGTTGTAATGTGTTTGAGGTTTTCATTTCAAATGACATAAGGTAACCGTGCTTTAGACGACTTATAGTGAAATTACCATGACATGTACATTTTACTGTAAATGAACCATACAACCTAAGCTTTCGTTACAAGACCTGTACAGAATCTTCTCTTGGGGGAGAAAGGAAAGAAAATAGTATTTAAACGAATGGTATTAGTCCAGCTTCTGTTAGGAACATGAGTACAACAAATACAAAGGTGACAAAGAGGTGCTCCATTTCACCCAGAATATGTAGATGGTCTGACCCTTTTTCTTGTGACCACTTGAAAGAACAGTCAGTAGTAGTGATAAATCCGGGCAGGTACACTGTATGACTCCAAGTAATCAAAACCCATCTTATCTATTAGCCATCAATATGTAATGATCTCCCAACTCCCGGGTCTTAAATGAATAAATAGAGATATTAAATTATGTATCCCGTATTATCCCTCAGATCGTTACCTACAGTGCTCGAGTGCTCTCTCCTCTCCTCCTCTGTCCTCTCCTCTCTCTCTCCTCTCTCCTCACTCTCACTTCATATGAATGCTGTTCGATAAGGCAAAGATATTTCCTCCATATAGAGCTTATGTGTCAGTTGAACATTCCCCCTTAGCCAAGCGTTTTTCTTGCCAGAATTTGATTACACACTGCATATGTGTAATTGATTCTTTTGCCATGTTCCTTCCTTTCAGTGACAAGTGATCAATAATGCTGCATGGCTTTTTGTGTGTGTGTGTACCATGTCTTAACTGTGTGGTCACTGTTGAATGAAAGTCAGAGGCTTTGGCAGTGTCCACATGTCACATACAGAGCTGCATATTCACATATTCTAGCCCATATCTTCTTTATGGCATTAAATATGGACCTGATTAATTATTTGAATGTGACTTCAGCTCCATGGCTCTCTGGCCACCTCTTTGCCATGCAAATTTGATTTGAATATGGCAACATGGTTTGGAGTTGTGTGAAAATATGCAGCTGAGGTGCAAAACATGTGAGTTTAAGTGCACATTTACTGTTAAATTCAAGTTTATAGATTTCTGGTAAAACTTGACTCTACAATGAACACGATCAATTGGAAAGAGTTAAAGGATGGAGCAGTGAAGCATCCACCTGACCCCTCACTGACAGATGTAAATTAATCTCTTAATGACAGCAAAACTGCTGATCATACAGTCGTTTCTCAGCGAACTAGGAAATGATTAGGGGCAATTGACTGTATCCCCTTTCATTAATTATTATCAAACTGGCAGCCAATAACCAATCCTGTGAGTCATGATGCAAGAGATAGTAATGATACTTAACAATCAGCAAAGCATGCTTGTGCACCAAAACTCTTCAATACAAACCAATGAATAAAGGAGACAAGTCAGACCTTTTGAAGTCGAACCTTCCATGTCTATACAAACACAACCTGCATGTACCTTACCTCAGAGAAGGTGGAGCTAGCATGTGTCCAATCATGTGGGCGCGGAAAGCAACTTGAAATCAAGGTAAAGGTATGATTTCATGCACACCAAGTAAGACATAGGCTACAATGTTATTTTTTCCTAGAAGGCGTTCATATAGATGAGATAATGCAGTTGTTTTTTTATTCCTATATACTATGGGCACATTGCTTGTGTGGGCTGTTGCTATAATAAGGCAGATTTATTCACTTTGTCAATTCATTTTGGGCTTTGGAGTCAGAAAAACTTGCTTGTAGCTTGGCTGACAGTGATTTAATCAACTGTTTGGTCAATTAACCTTTGCTGACTGTGTTTATCAGAATATTTTATACACCTCGACAGCCTTAATGTGGCCAAAAAGGGCAAACACTGCAACAGCCCCAAAGATAACAACATTGGAAATATGCTGAGAATGAAAATAATGTGTTTCAGAAAGTTGAAGTAAACACATTAATGCAACAAATGTGTTGCAAATTCATGTACAACGCAAAGTAAAACACTAAAATTCAGGTGATAAATGAAACAGTGACACTGCATATTAAGTAATCCCAATGGAGTTGCTCCATGACCATATGGGCACTAAGTGGTTTTAGATTTTGTGAAACATGTTTTATGGAGAAAATAATTAACATAGAAGAATCAGGACACCTGAAGGATGGTCTTTATATTCACCAAGGACAGAAAAGTTGGGCGAGGACAAACGCAGCCCCCTGGACCAAGGGCCAGTCAGACAGTGACAGAGGATATTTGTATGTGTTAAGAATTTGTATCAGTTTGTCGAACGGTCTGTGAAATGGAAATCTTTTGGGCAGCTGCAGCATGTTTCTCCTTGGTGGCCCCAGTAGAGCCCTGACGCCTTGCTGAAGGTTTATACAGCACATTCTGTAAGAATCTCTTTGTGAGAAGATTCCCATCAATCCTAGATAAAGAGAGTTGACTGACTACACCGACTGCCTCATCCCTGAGCCGTCACTGCCTGCTGTATTTTCCTTTCAAATTTGTCATAAAATGTGTCCAGTCCATCATCCATCCAAACAACACTGCGGACACACTCACAGTCCACAAGTCCTGGCTCTGACGCTGAGAGACACACTGTCATCTGTTCACAACGCCTTCATTAGAGAGATACACTACAGTTCATAGTCAGCTTCTCCAAAGCAGCTGAATGTATTCACTTATAGATAAAGAAAATACTGCTGCACTGAGCTCCTAAAGTATTAAGGTGCTGTGTTGAATGTACAATGAGTCTGTGTGTGGCAGAGGAGATAGAGAGAGAGAGAGAGAGAAATGTGGACAGCTGTAATTTACTGTGAGCTTCTGCAGGAGCGGAGGAGCAAAAGTTACATTCAGTTCTATTAAAATAATAAGCATTCAGTCAATGTTGGTCACTTTTCTATAAATAGAAAGCTGCACAGTTGTGAGGGAAAAAAGACATGGGTGGTGGGCAAGATTAAAAATACAAGACTTGGATGTAACATCTTTTCCAAGGTGTCATTTTTTATTCGTAGAAATTCAAATTTGAGGAAGTCCAAAAAACAACATATCTCGAGGTAGACAAACAGTGAGCTTTTGAGTCTTTGTAACTACACCAAGATACCTTACAGTGGCTACAAATGTGTGTGGCTGCGTCTGTATCTGATGTGTGTGTGTGTTTTGTCAATAAGAGGGAGGAAACACGCCAAAGCAGTAGCCTGTTTATTCTCTTTGGCTATTTTTAGCTGCTGGCCATGTCAAGGTCCACACAAACCACCCACCCACAGTGGGCAGCAGTGGCCTTCAATATAATGGTCTGCTGCAGACCCGGGTCATTAATCTATGTCATGTCTTCATTCATCCAACAAAACACACCTGTTCGCCTCTGATGCTGCCAGGGTGTCAGAATACACACAACACAATAAACACACTTTGGTATTTTAGTGGCCAATAGTACAGCTCGAGTTCAGGGGTGTCCTGGGGGCAGTCTGTACAGTGTATAGACTTTAGTGCATCCACTAAATCCTGTTTATAATCCAACCAAGGACCTTTGCAATATGTCATCTCCCTCTCTAGTCCCCTGAGTTTATGGTCACTCCCCCCCACCCCCACCCCCGCCATCAATCAAAGTGAGAAAACCCTACGTTAAAACCAATCCTGTAAAAAACATATCCTGTTTCAATGTGCATATACATAGTCCATGGAGCTCTGGCTATGTTTCTGTTAGCAGGGGACAAACAAACATAATTGATTACAACTCCAGAATGCTGGTTATGTTTGAATACATCCAGGGCAATGGATCAGTAAATGGATGGGACTTTCTTTATATATTGTTTATTGGGATTTCAGCAGCAAATGCTGGTCAACTCAACTGCTCTCGCATTCATTTTTTTCCAGCACAGCAGCACAGAGAGGTGTTTTAATCCGCTTTGCCTCTACGACTCGAGTATCATTGTTTACCAAACACAAAACACAACATCCTCTGCAGCACTGCTTCAGTGTTGTCTCCAAAATGTCAGAGTTTTGCGCCACACTCATCAACATTTACTGCTGTGAATAATGCCACCTTGCAGTGGGAGACAAGTTACTCAGCTCTGCACCTTAACCCCAAAGTGATTGTGGCCGCATGATAATGTGGATATAATGCACTTGGTCTAATTGCTGCCAAAACACCGAGGCTGGCAATTTGGCCTGCTGCTACTGACAAGAGTCGTCCAAGCGTTTATGTAATCAGGGCAGGTGTGGCACCGCTCGCTTGTTCCAGTGATCACTGCATGTTGTAACTGAAGTGAAAGACAGGAAGGAGAGACTGTGGGTTGAATAGCAATGAAGTATCTTGTGGTGTAGCTGGCACATTACCCAGGTTGGAACATTTTGTGTATTCAATCTGCACCTGAGTTGTACTAATGTTATGAACCTGAGAGTGAACTTTAAGTTTGTTTTTCCCTATTTACTGTGTATTTTATTGCAGCAAGCATCTGAAAGTTTTTACTTATATCAGTGGCCCCGCTGTATCATTGTTACCAACTTCCTCATTGTTTGTATATTTAACAAAATAAGCTAAAATTTCCAGAATGCTTTGCATCCACCTCCGTCTGCCTGCTAATCTATGTAGATCGTTTCTATAAATCATATGTGCTGATGTAGCAAGGCTGCCTTGTTTATGCTGCCATAAGTCAGAGAGTCACATTGATACTGATGTCAGTTGTGTA